GATTATTTAAATATATTACCTTACAATTGATCACCATCTACATTACCAAAACCAGAGGACATACATGCCATCTAGTGCAGTTAGTCTAACAGTGAGTGTAGAAATAATATTAGCAATAAGCAATTCGTTAACATCTAACACCAAGTTATGTGAGAGGGTCTATGTCCCCAGGGTACTGCCGGAACGTACCCTGGTACTATCTATATGCCGGATCCGTACCTCACCTACTCCACTAACGCGTCTAGGGAGTCGCCTACGCCTACTCCTAAGACCCTAACCCCTAACCTTAACCATATCAGATAGTTACCAGGGTACGTTCCGGTATACCGGACCGTACCAGGGTACGTTCCGGCAGTACCCGGAGGACATAGACCCTATGAGCCCAAGTTATATAGTGTATAGAACTTAGTGATACTATGAACATATGTATAGAATAAACATATGCTATACACACGTTAATTTCTAAGCAAAGAATAGTTGCACTAACTATTGCTATAGTCGATCATACACAGCATGCATCTTCCTTTATCCATCATAGACAAACAATTAAAATTAACCAAATGAACACATTAAATCACATTAGCTACATTTAGACACATAATATACTCCTGATATATAGATATATATATAATATATATATATATATATATATATAATATATACATCAGATCAGTATCGGTTGATTATGACCAGTCAAATGTACCTGCCGCCGGGAACAGTGGATGCTAAATGGTGTCTTGGCTCGCAGTCTGAAATAATGCGTGAGTTACTACGCGAGGCACAGCGGGTTTAGAGAAGGCAAGCTGTATTAGGAAGCAGTAGAGGCCTTATTTGCATTGTTATAGAGAATAAGGCTGTGTAACAAAAAAAAAAAAAAAAAAAAAAAATTCGGAACTTGGCCAGAATGCTGCGATACAAGCGGCCACAGTCACGCCATTCCAGCCGCAAAGCAATCAAGCCGATTCCCGGTGCAGTGATGTCTGCCAACGTTGTTCCCCACACACTACACCAGTGAGGACTAATGGGTGAGGACTGACTGGGTGAGGACTACTTGGGTGAGGACTAACTGAGTCAGGACTGACTGGGCGAGGACTGACTGGGTGAGGACTACTTGGGTGAGAACTGACTGAGTGAGGACTGACTGGGCAAGGACTAATAAGTCAGGACTGACTGAGTGAGGACTAAGCATGGATGAGGACTGCTTGGGTGGGACTGACTGGGTAGGACTGAGTGTTGTGAGGACTGACTGGCGGGACTAATGGTTAAGCACTAACTGGGTTAGCACTGACTGGGTGAGCACTGACTGGACCAGGACTGACTGAACTGGGACTGACTGGACTGGGACTGACTGGGTGAGGACTGACTGGACCAGGACTGACCAGGTCAGGACTCAGGTAGCGAAGGGGCTACTGAGGGAATGCATCTGACCTAGCTGCATGTTCAATCACCAGCTTGTCTCAATCACCAGGTCTGAGCATCTGTCGGCTTTACAACGAGCGAAACAGAGAAGGCATATCAAAGGGAAGCGATGTGGTGACGTGAGGAGGAGGAGGTGAGAGACGTTACCTTTCCGTCAGAGTTCCCGCAGGTGCCAGAGGGAGAGTCGCACAGTACGGGTGCCAGCAACAGACTCAGGAACGTAATGCTGAGAATCAGTAGATAAACCTGGAAGACAACACAATACGGTGCTGCATGAGCATTAATGCATTAATTAATTAATTATCACTGCCGGATGTTTGTAGTCTACGCAGCGTTTCCGTGCTGCTCAAGCGCCGACATTTATTCAATGTTGAATTAAATGAATCTATTTTAACAAGTTAGTTGTGAATTGCTTTGTAAGGTAATGTGTTCTGAGTAACATGAGTAACTTCTGATCCTAGTTTTAATACAGTTGATGATTAATACTGAGCAAACAACAGAGCATTGTATTCTAGTTAATACACACATCACACGTCGAATCCCATCTCACAAAACCGAAACCTGCATAAGGCCGGCATGAAACTCACACTAAACTTGTAATCACGTAGCGCACATCGTGAAACTGCCGCTGAAAGGGTCGTTGTCGTATAGGGTACTACATATATGTACCCGAGGTAACTATCTGATATGGTTAGGGTTAGAGGTAGGGTTAGGGTTAGAGTTAGGGTTAGGGAGTAGGCATAGGCGACTCCCTAGACTAGCATTATATTACATTTATGTATACATATATGTACCTCGCGCGTACATATATGTATTATCCTATATGACAACGACCCCTTTAGCAAAACTGCCAGGACAAAGGACAGCATGACAGTAGCCAACGACAAATCTCATAAAAATTAAAAATTTCAGCAAAACGAGATCTAGAGACGATATTCTGGTGCATGCACTCCCACCCGGCGAACTATACTCCAGGGCCCTAGATAGCCGGGGGGGGGCATAGGGCAGTTGCCACCCCACAGAAAAAAGTAGATACAATACATCAAAGGCGGTCACCTTCCCAGAACACACTATGTACATGGCTCCCGCCCAGGAAAAATTGGCTAGCTACGCTTCTGTATTCATGATATTCTATATTCGTATTTCGGTGAAGCTATTCATCATCCCGTAGAATTCGTCTGCTACGTCTGCCAGGCGGATGCATCCATGCCATCGCGACGATAATGTCTTCGTCTGACTCCCCCTGGTGCTCACCTCTCTGTTGATGAGATGGAGTCGGCGGGCACGGCTTGCCAGCACGAACGAGAACTCGCTGACTTGTGAGAGGCCGCCGACACGATCCACCGCACGTGCGACGTCTTTGCCGGCAGCAGACATGACAGCACGGCCATGCTCAGCGCGTACTGCAAGCGACACGGCAAGAGCAAGGTCACACAAAGGTCGCAAGCAACACGGCAAGAGCAAGGTCACGCAAAGGTCGCAAGCGACACGACAAGAGCAAGGTCACACCAAGGTCGGACGTGATGCTGTTTGGTAGCCGAACAACTGTTTAAACTGCAACTTGATGTGGACCTATTCTGCACGTGTACTCAGTAAAACTCAGTGGTACCCAGGAATTTCATAAAACAGGGAGCCATTAGCGATATGCTGATGTTTATCAGTGCTAATTGGCAGGGCAGGCAGGCCATATCACCCTAGAGACAACGCATCATAACTGCCTTCAATACCATTGTGATTATGGAGTATATTTAAATTTCATTGACAACGAGGGTAACTCATTGTGACTGCATTTCACTGAGCCATTCCAACATATTTACCAATATTATATATATATATATTCCAGGTACATTCACGATGCTCTAAAACTTTGCATACTTGATGAGGACGACTGCAAGTGTCAACCAGATGATCACGGTTAACTCGTAGCCACAAACGACGGGAACACATGCATACCTGCAACATTCAAATGAAAGCCACACTTTCAACGTAACATACTTTTCACTATAAATGCGATCGCGGTATAGCGATCGGCAAATATACCTGGGAATCATTAATTCGATATGCCATACATAGTACAAGCTGTAGGCACAGACGATCACTACGCTCATTAAATCCGACATTTCCTCCCACTTTTGACAAACCTACGTACAAAACAGTCACCCTGAGCTATCAACACAAATGTAGTGGTCCTCAATCAACTTCCCCTTCTCACGCCCATGTAAGCACATGCAAAGCTGTGCACATCTCGACTCACTGACTCACGACTGACTCAGCAAATGACTAACGACGATAAAGAACAAAAGCTGCACTTTAGATTTCATGCATTTCACTCTAAACGTGGTCCTATAACCTAAACGTTAAAAACGTTTTAGGACGTTAAAACGTTTTTAGGACGTTAAAAAACGTCCTAAACGTATCCCTATAACGATTCAGCTAACATACACAGGAAACCTCAATCTACGTGCCACGGAAAGCCCCGACAGGCTCTGACACGCACGACTCACCGACGGAGCGAAGAAGAGAACGGCGAAGAAATCGCGGATCGCGATGAATGAGATTCTTGATGTCCGACACGAGCTCATGTCGCTGCGATCCGACCATCGCCCGACAACGAAGCAACGAGCTCCATCGAGATGTGCAGCGTGGCGTGACCTGGTCAATGTCAAGGTCAAACTCAAGGTCGGAACAATGTCCGTACGTCACCGAAGGATTTGTTCTCACGAATGAACGATTGGCATTGGTCAAATAAACACCCCACGATAACGACAGCTTTCTCAGAGTGCAGACAAAGTAGCAGGGAATAATCTTTTTCCTGAGGGAAATTCGAGATCGGAGGGTTCGAGCGAACACGCTCGATTCGCTGACGGTTTCGGAAGAAATTCGCAACTTTTAACTCTACGCTTCTCTTTCAACTAAAACACTAAGCTAAAACAAAAACAAAAAAAAGCGTTTTAGACTTCATATATATTCGTTCACGATATCACGGCTGACCGACATATACGACGCTTCTAACAATGCGGACCACAGCTGTTTTAACGATTTAAGGTCTGTCGTGCAACCTGAGAAGCATGATCGCACGGCTCCCCGGTCATTACTCCCTGCTGCCTGAAGCACTCACTGCGCGAGAACGCTCCCGATGCACGAGAGCGCGAGAAGAAGCGCGGCCTGACACCCGCAACACTGAAACAACAAGCCCGCACGACAATGTTAAGTTCAGAGCTGGTTTTGACAGATTATGTCGCAGAATTCTCAATCATCTCAAAGATAACGTCGTTACCATTGGGTGCTTACACTAAGGGGGAAACTGCATCGCGGAGATAGATAGGTAAACGTGGTGACAAAATGGTTTCTCATAAATACATATATTTTCACTGTTAATTGTTATCCCCTTTCCATTACGCGAATTTTTCATTACACAGTTCCAACTCACTGCCCCAGTCATCCCATTATCTCCCAACGTCACAATATGTGCTTGCAATACTTTTTGTGTAATTATCTCTAGTAATTTTGCTAGCTTCGTATTAATTATTTACATACTTACCTAAATTACGCATTGATAATTACCCAAATGAAAAACGAAATCAACAATAAAACTTTCTCCACGTACGTGCAGTTTACTGTGAGGATGCATACGTACCAAAGAAAAGGTAAACGTGGTGGTAAAGGTAAACGTAGTGGTAAAAATGCTTTCTCATAAACGCGTATATCTCGCTGTGTCATAGTACCTGCCATCAGACGCGCGACGAGAAACGCGAAAGCGTCGTGTGCTCGAATCCTCGTCGCTGTGTGGGCGACGACCAGCGACGCAGCAGAGCGATGAGAAGCCCCGAGCATGACGTCCTGCATCACCAGGATCCCAGCAGGATTACGCCGTGGTCGCTGTCCGACGAATCTACGAGGACAGTGCAGACATCGGTCACAGCGAGTCGCCGACCTGACGACGTTACCGTCTCGCCCGCGTTACTACGGACACGATTACAGCAGCAGAGACGACCCACCTCCTAACCACTCACGCCACGCACACATCCCACGCTTACTCTTACATTCAGACGTTTATGTACAGTGATCTGTCACCCCCCCAGTATATGTTATGCTGCCATAGTCTGCCTGTCCACCGTATATGTATGTCATCGGTGATTCAACAATATATTTGATGTAAGGGATGTAAGAGAATTCATCCGTCATTTGACAGTATATATGTTTTGTGACGGATGTGAGAAGAATTGAGGTTTGATAATACTCTGCAGGGAGTAACATCTGTGCGAAATAATGTCCTGTACTCATTAAAAAAGGAGAAAGGGGATCATGCTAGGAATTGATGTTATTTGATCCAGAAAAAATTGCCCTATTCTAATCGTGTTACATTTACAATAAGATCAACAATTACTTTCTTTACCTCGCCATGCACTATTGCTGCTACTACTCGCAAACACCTCCTAATATCTTTCATAGCATGATCTTAGGATAGAAGGCAGGAGAAAATGTAAAAAGACATGCAAGTTATTTACTCACCCTGGCTCTCTCTATGATGCTTTGGCAAGCCTGAAAGAGTCAACACCTTTGAGTTCACTTAACAACATAAAAGGTCAACCAATATATCGTTTGCATAACATCTATACCTCGTCGATCACCACATGAGATGCATACGACACACCACAGACGCTCACCATCTTTTGTGTTGAGAAATGTCACCACCAGGGGCGTGCTGGACAATGCGAGACAAGCGGCCACGAAGGCTGAGTATGTTGGACTGATGCCAGCAACAGTTCCGATGCCGATACCGACAATGACTGCAAGGATCATCATGATGCTGGTACCTATCAGTGACACTTTCCATACCTAAATAATAAAGAACACGTGTAAAAGGCATGTAAAATGTAGTATATATATAGAATATATATATTATACACTCCTGATATGATAATTAATGTTCACAGTGTTTTTAATTATCTTTTTATGTGGCTGGCACAGTTAAATGGACCGTTTATGATATCATGAACAATATTATACCATAATTATCTCTAGGTTTTCATTTTTATATAGCTTTTCGATGGAATCTTTTGCAATAATTCGTACCTTCTTCAACTTGTCTGGCGAAAAATCGAGACCAACAGAAAACAAGATGAATAAGACACCAAACTCTCCCAGAGTTTCCAGCTGTACCAATGACTGAAAACAAACAAACACATCACTAATCACTTACAATACGTTGTCGTGCAAAACCATTCTACCCAAACACCGAAGTGTTTAAAATGCGAAGGTTTGTGCGTAATAACTCATTTTTGTTAAGTTTATAATCTATAATTATCTCCAGCCCCAAATCCAAACACCGTGCAGATGGCCAGTGATGCTGAGAGGGTCTATGTCCCCCAGGGTACTGCCGGAACGTACTACCCTGGTACTATCTAATATGCCAGACCGTACCTCGCCTACTACACTAACGAGTCTAGGGAGTCGCCTATGCCTACTCCCTAACCCTAACCCTAACCATATCAGATAGTTACCAGGGTACGTTCCGGTATACCGGACCGTACCCAGAGTACGTTCCGGCAGTACCCATGGAGACATAGATCCTATCAGCCTAACTATGCCCAAACGGTATATTTCCAGAAAGCGTTACTTGCTAAAAAGGGTTAGCTATCATTACAAATGGGGTCGCTTTCATTAGAATTAAAACGTTAATGTGTCGAAGAGAATCAGCAGAGATACATGCAGAGAACAACGCACCTTCAGCACGTTGGTTCCGGAAGGACCGAGAAGAACACCGCTCATGATGTAGCCGAACATGGCCGGCAGACCGACCGCCGTGCAGCACCAGCAGCAGGAGAACGCCACCAGAAACACTGCAACAATGTCCTGCAAGGCAACGAGCGTGAGCGTACAACATTGTATAACGCACTCAATGGCAACAATGTCCTGCAAGGCAACGAGCGTGAGCGTACAACATTGTATAACGCACTCAATGGCAACAATGTCCTGCAAGGAAACGAACGTATGTAAGCCATGTGTGTACCGTGTTGTATAACCCACTTAAAGTGCATGTAACCAGCAACACTGCAACAATGTCCTGCAAGACAATGAGTGCGCGTGTGTACCGCATTGCATAACGCGCTCAAGGGCGAAATCACCGCGAAATCCACTCTCAAATCCCCACAACCATGTCCCAGCAGCATCTCCTGTGCTTTATCGCGTCGTCTCAGAATTCGCATCGCCGAAATGCCAAGGTGCAGATGCTATAACCCACGATGAAATGGCTAGCGTAGGCTTCGCGAAGAAAGAAACGAACGACGATGAGGGTAGGAGTTAGCATAGGCTTAGCAAAGAAAGAAGCGCACCATGATGACGGTAGGATCTTCCTCTCTTAATTCTTTATACCATGTTATACATTATATCGGAATGTATACACAAACAAATTACAATTTTAAAAATACAAATGAAAGTAAATGAACCACTAAAAGTGTGTGTTATGCTGCTTTTGAGACTCAACTGACAACAGTTACTGAGTGCATAATAAAATAAAATTTATAAATTTGTCCGCTAGATGGCTACAAAAAGAAACGCACCATGATGAGAGTAAGATCTTCCTGAGGAATCGTCGAATCTTTGCCCCTCTGTAGAACGAACAGGTTGTTGTGCGCATCGATGAGTTTCACGACGCTCTCATCCTCCGTGTCGCTGTCGTTGCCTAGCGCCCGCTTCTTCACATCTCCCTGGTCGTCGATTTTAAAGACGGCTTCCACGTCTCCCACCTTAAGAAGTTTATAACACAAAATAACTAACTTGAGATGAGCGTAATTATGGGATTCGATGTGTTTCTACTTTGCTTGTTTCATAAAAGTCACTTATTGCAACAGTATCACACTTGCAGCTGCAGAAATGATGCTGGCAGCACTGTGCTTATGCGCTAACTTGGGATTGGCGCCTGTATGGGATTCGGTTTGTTTATACATTGCTTGTATCATAAAAGTGACTTATTGCTACTCTTGAAGCTGCAAAAATGATGCTAGCAGCAATGCGCTTATGCGACTGACATCTACAAACGAATTCTGTAGCTGAGTATCACATGGTGGAAGGTTCTGCCACCTGGTCGGGTTTCTTGGCATTGTCTTCGAAGACATGGCTACCGAGCTCTTTCTCCAGTTTGTCAGCAGCCTTCGCCACATCCGCCAGTATCTCGTCCAGAACTCCGAACACCTTGTTGTGGTTCACAGCTTGCTTCTGCACGAATGTTAACCACCAACATTTATCAACTAGCTCCACACTTATTCGCAACTGTCTAACATTCAGTGCTTTTTTAGCAAGAACCAAATAATTTCGGAAAAATTCCATGTCCCTTTTATCATTTTTATAGATCAATTCATATATCATATTTTCTTGAAATGTTTCCATGCTACATAAATGTTCTGAAAATTCCCGCAAAATGTGTTGTCCATATTCATTTTACCAGCATTCTGAAAGATGCTAGTAATATTACACAACATGAATTGACCTGGATATGTAACAGATGTATACAATAATTAGTGCAATTAAGAACATCTGTAAAGCACGTTATTAGTGAATGTGGTTTACTATACCATGTGCTGTAACTCTGTCTGGATGATGTCATTCAACTCAGCTTCCTCCTTCAACATTGCATCCTTCAGTGCAGACAAGCGTTGCTCGGAATTTTCCTGCCACAAAATAAATCGATTTTAATTTTGGACAACAAAGTTGTCATCCCCCCTCACACAGTGTCACACACATTCTGTGATATATATATATATATCTTACTATAATTTGGCGAATGTTGTATGTATGTTAATGAAAGGCTTCGTCAGTTTGGATCCAAATAGCGCCAAATTTACAGAAGAGATCGATGAGTACACGGGACGGGTTCTAAACTATACTCGGTTGAAAACCGTTTGTTCGGTCTTAAAAAAGACAAAAACAAAACAAAAAAAGGTAAAGATTTGCCTGAAAATAGGGGGCGCTGTTTTGTTTTCGTTCTGTTACAACAGAACCGTATCATCAACCAGTAGTTCCCACATAGCATACAATAAAACATTTGTGTTTGTGTGTGCGTGCGTGCGTGCGTGTGTCTGTATTTCACTGTGTACTTGCCAAACAAATGGTTAATGTGTTACGTGTAAGCATGATTGTACAGCGCTCATCATGCAGCCTGGCACGAAACGTTTTTGTTAACATGTGACATAGCAAACGATAAACTGTTTTAGCAAGTTACTGACCATTTTTTGGCATATTAACTGTAAGCATTTTATATATATATATATATCACAGAATGTGTGTGTGTGGAGGGATGACAATTAAAATCCAAAATTAAAATCGATTTATTTTGTGGCAGGACAATTCCGAGCAACGCTTGTCTGCACTGAAGGATGCAATGTTGAAGGAGGAAGCTGAGTTGAATGACATCATCAAGACAGAGTTACAGCACACGGTATAATAAACCACATTCACTAATAACGTGATTTACAGATGTTACTAATTGCACTAATTATTGTATACATCTGTTACATATCCAGGTCAATTCATGTTGTGTAATATTACTAGCATCTTTCAGAATGCTGGTAAAATTAATATGGACAACACATTTTGCGGGAATTTTCAGAACATTTATGTAGCATGGAAACATTTCAAGAAATATAGATATATGAATTCATCTATAAAATGATAAAAGGGACATGGAATTTTCGGAAATTATTTGGTTTTTGCTAAAAATGCCTGAATGTTAGAACAGTTGCCAATAATGTGGAGCTAGTTGATAAATGTTGGTGGTTAACATTCGTGCGAAAGCAAGCTGTGAACCACAAGAAGTGTTCGGAGTTCTGACGAGATACTGGCGGATGTGGCGAAGGCTGCTGACAAACTGGAGAAAGAGCTCGGTAGCCATGTCTTCGAAGACAATGCCAGAAACCCGTCAGGTGGCAGCACCTTCCACCATGTGATACTCAGCTACAGAATTCGTTTGTAGATGTCAGTCGCATAAGCGCATTGCTGCTTGCATCATTTTTGCAGCTTCAAGAGTAGCAATAAGTCACTTTAATGATCCAAGCAATGTATAGCACACCGAATCCCATACATGCGCCAATCCCAAGTTAGCGCATAAGCACAGTGCTGCAGCATCATTTCTGCAGCTGCAAGTGTGATACTGTTGCAATAAGTGACTTTTATGAAACAAGCAAAATAGAAACACATCGAATCCCATAATTAGCTATCTCAAGTTAGTTATTTTGTGTTATAAACTTCTTAAGGTGGAGACGTGGAAGCCGTCTTTAAAATCGATGACCAAGGAGACGTGAAGAAGCGGGCGCTAGGCAACGAAGCGACGGAGATGAGAGCGTCGTGAAACTCATCGATGCGCACAACAACCTGTTCGTTCTACAGAGGGGCAAAGATTCGACGATTCCTCAGGAAGATCTTACTCTCATCATGGTGCGTTTCTTTTTGTAGCTGTCTAGCGGACAAATTTATAAATTTTATTTTATTATGCACTCAGTAACTGTTGACAGTTGAGTCTCAAAACCAGCACAGCACACACTTTTAGTGGTTCATTTACTTTCATTTGTATTTTTAAATTGTAATTTGTTTGTGTATACATTCAATATAAGTGTATAACATGGTATAACGAATTAAGAGAGGAAGATCCTACCGTCATCATGGTGCGCTTCTTTCTTCGCTAAGCCTACGCTAACTCCTACCCTCATCGTCGTTCATTTCTTTCTTCGCGAAGCCTACGCTAACCATTTCATCATGGGTTATAGCATCTGCACCTTGGCATTTCGGCGATGCGAATTCTGAGACGACGCGATAAAGCACAGGAGATGCTGCTGGACATGGGTTGGGGATTCGAGAGTGGATTTCGCGGTGATTTCGCCCTTTGAGGCGTTATACAATGCGGTACACACACGCACTCATTGTCTTGCAGGACATTGTTGCAGTGTTGCTGGGTACATTCACTTTAAGTGGGTTATACAACGCGGTACACACATGGCTTACACACCCTCGTTTCCTTGCAGGACAATGTTGCCATTGAGTGTGTTATACAATGTTGTACGCTCACGCTCGTTGCCTTGCAGGACATTGTTGCAGTGTTTCTGGTGGCGTTCTCCTGCTGCTGGTGCTGTACGGCGGTCGTTCTGCCGGCCATGTTCGGCTACATAATGAGCGTGTGTCTTCTCGGTCCTTCGGAACCAACGTGCTGAAGGTGCGTTGTTCTCTGCATGTATCTCTGCTGATTTTCTTCGACGCATTAACGTTTTAATTCTAATGAAAGCAACCCCATTTGTAATGATAGCTAACCCTCGTTAGCAAGTAACGCTTTACGGAAATATACCGTTTGGCCATAGTTAGGCTGATAGGGTCTATGTCTCCATGAGTACTGCCGGAACGTACCCTGGTAACTATCTGATATGGTTAGGGTTAGGGTTAGGAAGTAGGCGTAGGCAACTCCCTAGGCTCCTTAGTGGAGTAGGCGAGGTACGGTCCAGCATATTAGATAGTACGAGGGTAGTACGTTCCGACAGTACCCTGGGGGACATAGACCCTCTCAGCATCACTGGCCATCTGCACGGTGTTTGGATTCAGGGCTGGAGATAATTATAGATTATAAACTTAACAAAAATGATTTATTACGCACAAACCTTTAAGCATTTTAAACACTTCGGTGTTTGGGTAGAATTGTTTCAGCCGACAACGTATTGTTAAGTGATTAGTGATGTGTTTGTTTGTTTTCAGTCATTGGTACAGCTGAAACTCTGGGAGAGTTTGGTGTCTATTCATCTTGTTTTCTGTTGTCTCGATTTTTCGCCAGACAAGTGAAGAAGGTACGAATTATTGCAAAAGATTCCATCGAAAAGCTATATAAAAATGAAAACCTAGAGATAATTTGGTATAATATTGTTCATGATATAATAAACGGTCCATTTAACTGTGCCAGCAGCCACAATAAAAAGATAATTAAAACACTGTGAATTAATATCATATCAGGAGGGTGTATAATATATATATTCTATATATATACTACATTTTACATGCCTTTACACGTGTTCTTTATTATTTAGGTATGGAAAGTGTCACACTGATAGGTACCAGCATCATATGATGATCCTTGCAGTCATTGTCGGTATCGGCATCGAACTGTTGCTGGCATCAGTCCAACATACTCAGCCTTCGTGCCGGCTTGTCTCGCATTGTCCAGCACGCCCCTGGTGGTGACATTCTCCAACACAAAAGATGGTGAGCGTCTGTGGTGTGTCGTATGCATATCTCATGTGTGATCGAAAAGGTATAGATGTTATGCAAACGATATATTGGTTGACATTTTATGTTGTTAAGTGAATTCGAACTCAAAGGTGTTGACTCTTTCAGGCTTGCCAAAGCATCATAGAGAGAGCCAGGGTGAGTAAATAACTGGCATGTCTTTTTACATTTCTCCTGCCTTCTATCCTAAGATCATGCTATGAAAGAATATAAAGGTGTTTGCGAGTAGTAGCAGCAATAGTGCATGGCGAGGTAAAGAAAGTAATTGTTGATCTTATTGTAAATATAACACGATTAGAATAGGCGCAATTTTTTGGATCAAATAACATCAATTCCTAGCATGATTCCCTTTCTCCTCTTTTAATGAGTACAGGACATTATTTCGCACAGATGTTACTCCCTGCAGAAATATTATCAAACCTTAATTCTTCACAAGACATTCGTCACAAAACATATATACTGTCAAATGATGGATGAATCCTCTTACATCACCTCCTTACATAAAATATGGTGTTGAATCATGAGACGACATACATTACGGTGGACAGGCAGACTATGGCAGCATAACATATACTGGGGGGTGACAGACACTGTACAAAAAACGTCTGAATGTAAGAGTATAAGCGTGGGATTGTGGTGGCGCGTGAGTGGCGGGTTAGAAGGCGGGGTCGTCTCTGCTGCTGTAATCGTGTCCGTAGTAACGCGGCCGAGACGTAAACGTCGTTGCAGGCGTCGGGTCGACTCGCTGGACGCGATGTCCTGACACTGTCCTGTAGATCGTGCGTGTCGGACAAGCGACCACGGCGTAAATCGCATAATGCTGCGAATGCTGTGATGCAGGAACGTCATGGTCTGGGGCTTTCAAGAAATCGCGTTACTAGCTGCTCCGTCGTGGTACTCGCCCG